AAGTCGACACTGGCTATGTGGCAAGCATAATGTGAAATCTTGTGTTTCCTTCCCACAGAGGGGTACCCATCTATTCATCTTGGAACGAAGAAAAACAAATGACCCTGACCAAGCCGGGAACCTGGGGTCGATAGTCTAGATTTTGAGTCAGACACTTTACCGACTCAGCCATTACGGTTTGACGCAACGAACGATAAATTCCTTGTTCAAGGGAATTCGTGTTAAAGACAAAGATTGCTTCTTGGTCCGAATTGAACCTGAAACTGCCGGAGTTTTTAGCCAGCCCATTAAGCACCGTACTTTATGTCGTCGGTATACTTTCAATGATCCACGAACACTTCGCGGAATGTACTGCAGACCTTACACAGGGCGATTCCTCTTATGGTGTCGACGAGTCAATAAGGGAGCTATGTACTTTTGGTCAGATGATTCCTTCCTGGTCATGCGTCAGTACCCATTTATAGGTTTCAGAATGACTTCCGTTTCTTTCTTGTCTTCCGCTGTTACTGCGGCATGTGCGCTGTAGCGAAGAGCCTAAATTACTGCTCGACCAGCCGATGACGCACTGTAACTCGACCTGCTTCGTAATTGAGCTATGCAGAATGAAGAGGTCGGCACCGAAGTCGGCATTCATCGTGGAACTGGTTGTGCCCCAACTGAAAATAGCTTTCACATGTGCATTTTGTACAACTTTGTTCTCACAGCTCGCTCGTTGTTTTCTATGATCACATGGCTTTTTCCTCTTTGTCAATAAAAACTCTTCAGACAGAAGTCAGGTCCGGAAGATGCTCTGGAATAAAGAAACACATTCATGTGCAAATCTCATCAGCAACGTCTTGTATTGGTTAAGCTCAAAAAATGCACTCTGCAACGCACATTTGCTCCAGGACCAGATTTCACGGCGTGTTGCACCGTTTACCTTGCTCTTGGTTACCCAGAGGTGCCATGTTAAGCAGGCTACAACTTCATGGTATTTGAGCCTCTGCAGTTCCAAATGCATCTCGCTAGCGCCACCCCGCCGATTACAAAAGATGTTTGAAGAGTCGGTACTGTTTGTCTAGTACCCGATAGTCATAAAAGTAATTTAGTAAGTGCAGTAAATATTAAATCCACAAAACTTTTATTGTACGAACAAGCACGAATACGCTATGACGTCAATTCACTCAGGACGTTTTTTTTTTCGGTGGTGAAAACGGCAGTTCCACAGGTTTTAAACAAAATTGGAGCCCTGAAAGCAACTGAAGCGTCGGCAGTATATAGCACTACATTTGACGTAGGTATTTTGTAATTGTATAACTACTAACATAAAAGCTGCTGGCTTCATTTTTGTGATATTTTTTGGAAAGAAGGGGGAGCAAATCTTTCCCGTATTTTCTCATATTTCCAAAAGTTTGAAAGAGCCCATTCTGCAGGGATAAAGATCTTCAAAATGTTTCGAAAATCGACAGTCGAGATGACTATGCCTGTTGATCGCTCCTCTCCTGGAACAGAGATCACAACTGTGGTCGTTAGGACACAAGATCATAGCTCCAGAGAAGAATCTGAGAAGACCGATTCTCTTTGCAAAGCTGAATAGCAAGGAACAGAAACACTGACAGAAACTCCAACAGTTTCTGTGCCTGCTGAACACTTGGTATTATTGCACTTAAAATCGAACCCTTCGAGCTGCCTCAGTAGTAGACTAAACCAAAGGTAACGTTAGGTGGTAAAAATGATAGATGAATGGGTGGATGACTGAATGAAACCACAAAACGAAAAAAAGTATAACATTAAAGTGATTCAGAAAAAAAAACAAAATCGGTAAATGAACGAAGCAACAACATTCAATTCATAAATGAATAAAACTAAAATTCACCGATAATTCATTCAAGTATTAAAATCTTCAATTCGATGCCGAATGCATGAACGATCGAAAGAACCTTTGGTTCATTGTTCGCATTCACTAATCCCATAAATGATTGATTAAGAGAATAAACAAACGAATGAGTGAAAGAAAGAATAAATTAGTAAGCGGATCCATGAATGAATGAACGGGTATGTGACTGAATTGTTCACTGAATGATCCAGTGAGAAAGATATGGAAGATAAACGATAGAACAACAATGAGGTTACTCAGTCCTTTCATTTAGGCAAGAGAATACGCAAATCAATCAATGAATTAACAAAGGAGCAGATAAATGAATGGACAAAAGAATAAGTGAATTGACGTATGAATTAAAATGAGATTCTTCTGTGATTTCATCCAAGCACGGCAGACCTCGAACTAGAAGGCCAGCAGGCCAACAAGCAACAAGGAGGAACAAGGTAGAAGCATATCTGCTTCTGGAGAGGAATATTTGCTTCTACAGTGTAGTAACCGGTTTCCTTTAGGAAAAATGTTAAAAAGCTGCGAGTACATAAGACATCACAAACCAGAGACGTTCTGCTTATGCAAAAGACTCAACGATCATAACATCCTTGAATCAATGAACAGATGAGCGAATGAAAGAACGTATGAATCAATCAAGTGGCAAACGAAAGAACAAATGAAAATCAAGTTTGCCGAAGATTCCATTCATGTAGCAAAACATTCAATTCAACAAAAGAATGATTGATTAAGCCTGATTTAATTAACGAATGATTGAAATTGTCGTCACTGGTGCATTAGTACAAAATACTTTGAGTTATTTTTCTATTATGAGTTATTTATCTACGTTAAATCTATCTTGAAACAGGATGAAAACACAGATTCTCCTAAGCAGGAAAGACAAAGGCTTATCAGCTATTAAACCGTTTTAAGTTAAATCCTAGATAATGAATAAATCACCAAACATTTTCCACGCGCTCTTACTTGAAGGCATTTTGCGGCCTTGACAGGGTCCTGTACTTTCCTTATTAATTCCACCGTTTCGGCTTCGTCTACCGTTTCCCAGAATGAGCGATTGGCGATCACCATAAATTCATCGAGAGTGTTAAGTTTAAAAACCGCTTCGTGAGGAACAGGGATTATCGCTGGATAGAGATAGTACTTTCCGATGAGGCGTGAATTTGCCGTCACTCCGTTGATGTCATTATTCTAGAGCATAAACGCGTTTCTCTGCAACCATGACAAAGTTATCAAAACAAAAGTCAACCTCGGTTAAAATCGCCCCAGCCTGGCGGATGCGGCCGTATTCCTCGGGCATGTGCGAGGCGGAGAATTTCCGAGTCAAAATCACCGGTTCTCCATTTCTGCAAAGCACAGCCTCGGTGAGGCCGCAGTTAGCGACTCGAACTTCGCACACGCTCCTCTGTAGATCGGTGACCAAGTGACAGACGGCACAGCTGACCCCGAGTTTTTGCCCCAACGCTTTGAGATCCTTGTGACAAGCGAGAAACGCATTTTTCAGGTACGGTCCGTCACCGTGTTTGCTCGTCTTCTGCTCAGCCTGTATTGCTGTCGGTAAACTTTGCTTCATCAGTGATGACAGCTCGCTGTTCGTACCACCGTCTACTATGCCGAAGAGAGCATCGTCCCAAGAACTGGCAAAAGAGCATCGTCTGATTTGAAAGATACACATTCTAGAATTTTGTATGTCATTAGTTTATTCAGGTTATCATCTGTCAAAAGAGTATGAAAATTTTAGAAAC